ACATATCAGAGACGCTACTGGGTTTCAGTGAGAAAAAGAAAGAAATAAATGACGATTAAAGTATTTAAAGTATTTTTTATTGAAATGAAAAAGGCGCTAATTTCAAATCTTTTCCTTTGTACCCCCTTACTTCTTAAAATAATGACAAGCATTCATATTGATGATTGTTATTGCAATATTTTGTTAAGCTCAAATATTTAACGATGCGATAGGGGAATTTCTACAGATATTTTATGGTCATATAACTCGCCATGAGCTTATTCAATCACTAACTGAAGAGGTAAGATTCATCAGAAAATTTAAATTGGAAAACCGTAAAAACCGTGAAACTAATATTATTTTACTCTTCTTAACGTGAATCTTTTTTTTAGATGATCGTAATATGTATATTTTCGTAAATTCTCGCATATTAATTTTGATAAACCTGAAATTGAAATAAGTGAAATAACACTTAAAAATCTCCCTCTCTATCTATCTACTTATCTGTCTGTCTGTCTGTCTGTCTGTCTGTCTGTCTCTCTCTCTCTCTCTCTCTATATATATATATATATATATATATATATATATAATTTAATAGAATGTTTAGATTTAGGTGTTTAGATGTTTAGGTTATAAACATCGTTTGAGAATGAAACTGTGTTCTAAATTTTAAGTTTAATATTGAAATTAAATTTAAGGACTTGAGTCAAGTTTCGAAACAATAATTTCTGTGTCACGATGCAATCATATTTAAAAAAAATAATTATAATTTTAAGCTCTACTTCTGTATCGAGCACTGTATTTTTTTTTTTAAATAAAACCATAAATACAAAAGAACTTTGGATCACTTATCTAGCTGTTCTTTCCTCTTACATCAATACGCGCACACACACACACACACACACACACACACACACACACACACACACACACACATATATATATATATTGTCATCCACAAACAGACTGTTTCGCTGTACCACAGCTCATCAGTGTGGCCAGACGTCCGGTTGCCTCTAGCAGGGATGAAGGTGAATTTAAGCTTATTTATTTTTTAGATAAAGACACAGTGACTGAGAGAATTCGATTCGATTTACCGAAGAGTCTTGCATTATTAGCCATAATAGTCACTGTTTACAAACCCACATTTCCTCCCCAGATAAATTTGTGCATAGTTACACACAGAGACGAATATATTATATGAAGGAGCAACGTAAGTTAAAAACATAAAGTAATGATTTTAATGAGTTATTAAGAATATTAAAACTAAAATCAATGGAAAATTATTTCATACAAGCTAAAACAAAGAAATTCTATAAAAGTGAAATAATTTGAAAATATTTAATAAACACGCCAGTTTTGTGTAAACATTAGTTTCCACGTTACATTTCTCTTACTTTCATCAAGAGAATCTGATTTGGTTTGGTCTGTTTTCTTTTACGGTATATCAACCTCAATGGGTTATGTAATACCAGCAAGATTTTTAGAATAGATTCGTATGAATAGAATACGTAGTCTTTGTAAGAAATCAGTTTGTAGATTAGGTTTCATTGACGATTTTTTGTAAATAGATTTTTTTTCAAGAGTCAAATATATTGCTGTTTTGTTTTACGGTTTATCAACCTCAATGGGTTATTTAATACCAGCAAGATTTTTAGAATAGATTCGTATGAATAGAATATGTATTCTTTGTAAGAAATCAGTTTGTAGATTAGGTTTCATTGTCGATTTTTTGTAAATAGATTTTTTTTTCGAGAGAGACAAATGTATTGCTGGTAATATTTGTTTGTTTTTTTTTTCTAAAGTATATTGCTGGTATTTTTACCATAGAAATGTATTTTTATATTTTCATCATGTCTTTACCCCAGTTTGGGGGTTAACTATTTGTCCATAGTTGGGACCTTAACAGGTGCTACCACCCTGGCTCAGGATGGACCTGTGAACGATAGCAGTTAAGAAATGGTTCCACATTTCTGAAATTCTCCCAATCAAAGGCCTTGCTGCCGGATTTAGTTTATCGTAAGAGAATCTGAGAAAAGAAAGTATAATCTTACTTATTATAAAACCCAGGTTGTGTGTGTGTGTGTCTGTATGTTTATATATTGGATCGGATTTCCTACATTTTTCAACCGATTTCAACAAAACTTCACAGGACCACGTAAAATTAACTTGCGGTGGTTCTGACAGCGCCCAAAATGGGAAAAACAATTGTTTTTGCACGAAATCAATTTGAAAACACGATTAAGAGGCATCGCTGTCGCCAGAATGAAAGGGGGACAACTCATATCAAGTTATACTTATTATAAAACCCAGGTTGTTTGTTTGTGTGTTCGTTTATATATGGGATAGGATTTCCTACATTTTTCAACCGGTTTCAACAAAACTTCACTTTTTTTTGGCAGGTAGTGTTTCTTATTGTCTTCCACACTTTTTTCTTTATTTTTACATTCAGAATGCTTTAAAAATTCCATTTACAAGACAATTGTTTATAATAAAATTCTATTCAATCGGTAGACTGATAACGATTGAAAACAATGTTTTTGTTTGAGTTTGGGTTTGACCAATTCGTAAAAAAAAACAAAACAAAAAAAAACTAATTAAGACATGCGTGTCCGTCAACCTTAAACAATAATCTTTGTCAATTTTATTTTTCAGTATTTATGATGGTCGATACTTGATCTATCTCTTACTGTTACACCCCCGGGCAACGCCGGGCTTTACTGCTAGTTACTTATAAACTTACAGTAACGAACCATAAGAATATAGTAAAAATATATTTTTATTATGAAATTTGAAAATGAACTAAATACGGAAGATTTGGGGTTTCTCTGTGATATGTCCCGGAAAGGGATATATTTGTTCGAAGTAGCCAAGTGGTTGTTCGCTACTGTAACCGACTCGGTTACAGTAGCGAACAACCACAATCTAGCAGGTAACCGTAATAGACTGGTCCTCGTCGTAGTGGTAAGCAATAGGCGTAGGCAATAAGTGAAAAAAATAGGCATAGTTCATGTACCTCCACATCAGTCTGTATTTATGGCTGACACCAGTCAATCATATTATTGTGAGAGGGAACCCAGGTGTATGCATATTCATTAAATCACCCTGAAAAGTTAATACGGAATAGGGGAAGCAATTAATCAATATGGTATATGTCTAGTATTTGAAGGGCGTCTGGCAACCCTAAACAGACTTACGTTAGTCAGGATGTCGATTGCGAACGGTTATAAAACAGATGAACGGCGAATAGGAGTCGCCTGTAGCATCATTTCAGAAGCATTTTATAATGTGTACTCATTCATCAGCGTTTTCGTTCTGAATAGTTATAGAATAAACTTTAGCCGAAATGTGGCGCCACCTGCACAAAGGGCTTAAAATGAATATTCAAATTTTATCCAATTATCTGCCCTTGTTGTCGTATCGATCGTTAAGGCTATCAATTGTCTAAATGTCCCAAAATGTTTTTAATGTTAATATATTTCCGAGGAAAATAATGGCGATTTGATTATCTTTATCCTCCTCTTATTTTTAAATTTTGAATAATCGCATTAAGTAGTTTTTGGTTTTGTTTTTATTTTAATTTGAAAAAAAAAAATTATTATGATGTTTCTTTTTTTCCTTCATAAAAATGGCGGCTGGCGTCTGAGAGACGGGCCTAAAACTATAGTGTCTGGAACAATATAATTGTTAACGTTTTTTTATAATCAGGCACGAAATTTTATTAACCAAGCATCATTTTAGACGCTAGTGGTCATTGGTTTCGATTCTGTGGTGAGATAGATAGATATGAACAGATATGAATACATAGATAGATATGAACAGATATGAAGAGATAGATAGATAGATAGATATGAACAGATATGAAGAGATAGATAGATAGATAGATCGATAGAAACAGATATGAATAGATAGATAGATATGAACAGATATGAAGAGGTAGATAGATAGATAGATATGCAGAGATAGATAGATAGATAGGAACAGAAATGAAGAGATAGATAGATATGAACAGATATGAATAGATAGATAGATATGAACAGATATGAATAGATAGATAGATAGATAGATAGATAGATAGATAGATAGACGGATATAAACAGATATGAATAGATAGATAGATAGATAGATATGAACACATATGAATAGATAGATAGATAGATAGATAGATAAGAAAAATAAAATATAAAGAGTGGATGAAAGCAAAAAAACTAACAGAAATTAAGTAATATTACAAGAAAGAAAGAAGGAAGTAAAGAAAGAAGGAAAGGCAGAAAGAAAGAAAGATAAATAGCCAGATACGAATAGATAAAGATACATAGAAATATAACCGAAGATATATATATATATATATATATATATATATATATATATATATATATGCATAGTCAGATATGAAGTGGTTAAAATAGATAGAAAGATATGAGCGCAGAAAGACAGACAGATAGGTAGATAGGTAGATATGAAAAATAGATAGATAGATAGGTAGATACATAGAACGATAATTAACAGAATGAGATAGATAAATAGATACATATATATATATAGATATGAAGAGATTAAGATAAATAGATAGAAACATAATGTGCACAGATAAACAGATAGATTGAGAGATATGAACAACAGATAGATTGATACATAGGAACAATATATATATATATATATATATATATATATATATATATATATATATATATATATGCATAAAGATAGATAGAAAGCCAAATACGAATGGATAAAGATACATTGAAATATAACCGAAGATATATATATATATATATATATATATATATATATATATATATATATATATAGATAGATAGATAGATAGATGCATAGACAGATATAAAGAGATTAAAATAGATAGAAAGATATGAGCGCAGATAGATAGATAGGTAGATATGAACAATAGACAGATTGATAGATAGATAGATAGATAGATAGATAGATAGGTAGATATGAACAATAGATAGATTGATAGATAGAGAGAAAATGAACAGAATGAGATAGATAAATAGATGCATATATAGATAGATATAAAGAGATTTAGATAAATAGATAGATAGAAAGATATGAGCACAGATAGATTGATAGATATGAAAAATAGATATAAATAGATAAAAAGATATGATCGCAAATAAAGAAATAGATTAAGAGATATGAACAACAGATAGATTGATAGATATGAACAATATATATATATATATATATATATATATATATATGTATGTATGTATGTATCTATATATGAAAACATAGATACTATACTATACTATAATAAACCATACTATACTATACTATACCATACTCTAATATAATATACTATACCATAATATACTATACTATACCATATAATACTATACTATACTATACTGTACCATACTATACCATACTATACTATACCATGCTATACTATACTATACCATATAATACTATATTATACTGTACCATACCATACTGCACTATACTATACTATACTATACCATACCACACAATACTATACTATAATATACCATACTATACCATATTTACTAAACTATACTATACCATGATATACTATAATATACCATAATACTATACCATACTATACAATAATATACTATACCATACTATACTATAGTATACCATATAATACTACAATATATTATACTATGCCATACCATAATATACCATACTATACTATAATATAATATACCATACTTATACTATACTATTCCATAATATACTATAGTATACCATATAATTTATATTATACTATACCATGCTATACTTTACTATACCATACTATACTATACCATACAATATAATATTATATTATACTATACTATACAATACTGCATTATACCATACTATACTATACCATACTATACCATACTATAATATACCATTATATACTATAGTATACCATATAATACAATATTATACTATACTATACCATACTATACTATGCTATACTATACCATACAATACTATACCATACTATAATATGCCATACCATACTATACCATACTATACTATACTATAATATACCATACTATACTATACTATAAAATACTATATTATAGTATACCATACTATACTGATACTATAGTACTATATTATACTATACTATACCATGCTGCACTATACCATACTATAACATAATATACTATACCATACTATTCTATACTACAATATAACATACTATACTATAATATACTATGCCATACTATACTCTGCCATATAATATTATATTATACTATACTATACCATACCATACTATACCATACTATACTGTACCATACTATAATATACTATTCCATTCTATACTATACCATACCATACTATACCAGACTATACTATATTATACTATACTACACCATACTATACTATACCATATTATACTATACTATACCATATTATACTATACCATAATATACCATACCATACTATACTATAGTATACTATACTGTACCATACTATACCATACAATACCATACTATACCATACTATACTATACCATACCGTACTATGCAATACTATAATATACCATACTATATCATACTATGCTATACTATACCATGGTATACTACACCATAATATAATATTCCATACTATATATACCATACCGTACTATACCATACTATACTATACTATAGTATAATATACCATCCTATACTATACTATACTATACCATACTATACTATACTATACTATATTATACTAGATAGATTGATAGATAGACAGATATAAACAAAATAACGCGCGTAGAGATGCCCAGTTGATACGGTATAAATAGACAGAGAAGAATAAAAGAGAAGATAAATTGATTTGCCCATATTAAACATTACTGACAAATCGATTTTTAGCGAATCGAGAAAAAATGTTGCGAACGGATGGGAATACGAATTGACCAACAGAAAGGGGAAAAAATGAAAAAAAAAAAAAAAGAAATTCGAACAGATTGAAACATACCGCGGAAGAGTTGAAAAAAAAAAAGATCGTTTACCATGCAGCAAGGCTTATAAATTCCCTTAAGTCTCGATTACCACTAGGTGCATATCACGTATGTCCCAGTCTAGGCTAAGGTTGGTAAATACCGATAAGTAGACATGCATAGGTTGATAAGCGTATATATATATATATATATATATATATATATATATATATATATATATATATATATAAAGAAATATAGTCTTAAGGTGTGCTATATTTATGGAATAAAGTGCTCAATATCAGAGATAGAGCGTTTGTAAATATAAAAGTGAACATAGATGCAACACTTAGACCTGACGATTGTTCATAGCTATATGCAATCGTCAGACCTGACGATTGCATGTTCACTTTTATATTTATATATTTATATATATATATATATATATATATATATATATATATATATACGATGGATTCTCTTCGACGTATGAGGTTCCGACGACCACGAATTACGTATCTGCATGCCTATGACATGCATGACATTTGAGACCGACACAAGAATTGCACAAAAGACCACAAACAGTACAAGAGAATGTATTGTATCCAAGTGCAGCAGGAACACTGCTAGATGTCTTATTTTGCTTTCTCGTTTCATGTAGTCGACTGATGCTTACTTCTAAGTGCAGCTATATCAATGTTGTACTTCTTTAACTCCAATGCGACAAGAGCTGTTTTTCTTTCTGGTGCTGAGTTGTTGTCCTGGAGAGTTCGTACATTCCAAGTGCCAAGATGAAGTTGATGATGTTTCGTAGAATTTTTCGCTGTAGCCGTATATCTAAGGAACTAATTAGATGTAGTTGTCAGAAAACCAACACAATGAATTGCTTCAAGTGATGAAGGCTTGTGTCAGACCATCCACACTTTTTGGATATGTCGATAAAAAATAGTAACGGTGCAAAAGACTTGCCACGGAAACGTTATACAATAATATATATATATATATATATAATCACAAAATCTTTCCACCTAAAGAAACGTTGATTTTTTAACATTGAAACAAGATGTACAGGTTTGTAGTGAGTATGTAGATGTTCTAATGTAACAATGCATAACAAATAAATATTGCACCACTTCAGCAGTGTTTTAAATTGATGTTTTGAACGCTGGAATCTTACTCTTCTTTTTTTTATAATATATATATATATATATATATATATATATATATATATAGTAAAGGTAATAAATCCATATATGTAGGTAACATAATCCAAGTGGATCCTATATATATAGTTAATATAATCCAAATGGATCCTAGTAGTATAAAATATTAAAATTGATTCGCAAAAATAACTCAATGTATTTATTATTATAGACCAAATAATTAGTACACAATAAAATCCAACATTACCTCATATAGAGAATACATATTCTCCATATGAGGTAATTTAGAATTTTATTGTGTACTCTATGTATCTATCTATCTATCTATCTATCTATCTATCTATATATATATATATATATATATATGTATATATATATATATATACATATTATATATATATATATATATGTGTACTATATATATTATTGTGTATATGTATATATATATATATATATATATATATATATATATATATATATAGAGAGAGAGAGAGAGAGGAAGAGAGAAATTATTAGAGGGTTTTGACTAATCATGATTAAGTAAATCTTTGATTCTAGAAGAATGCTCAACAGAATGTAGAAATAATTGAACGGCCGTTTCGTCCTATTTTGGGACTCATCAGCAGTGCACATCCACTACCGAGAATCGAAGACGTGACTTGTGGTGCCACAGTCCGTTGATATAAGTCGTGGATCAGTCGCTGTATCGAGTCTATTTTTTTACCCCTTCGTCACCGACACCCGTTGTCTACTGGGTATGACACTTGCGTCATATTGTAACTGTCCGGGTTCGATTCTGATGAGTTCCAAAATAGGACGAAACGGTCATCTAGTGCTTTCTGCATTCGGTTGAGGATTCTTCTAGTCTCGATAAATTACTTAATCATTATATATATATATATATATATATATATATATATATATACATCCTATACTTGGATATATATATATATATATATATATATATATATATATATATATATATATACACCTAGTGAGCCAGACAAACCTACCTAGGTTTCACCTAAACGGATCGTCAGGGAAAGTTTGGCTTAGTGAGCCACGGTTGCTCTACGGTTGTATTGAGCTCTTTTGTTAGTTAGTTGTTACTCGTATCGGGGTTTTTTCTTTGGGCTTCAGACCTGCATCTGTGCGATTTTTTTGTCGGCAGAAGTTCATGTTTGTAGCTCTTTCTTTTTTAAAACCTTTTTTTTCCCTCGAGATTGATTTGATTAGCAAATCAAAAATTCGAGGGTTTTTCAAACGAGTCTAGTTATCTATATATATATATATATATATATATATATATATCTATACTTGGATATATATATATATATATATATATATATATATATATATATATGGATATATATATATATATATATCCTATATATGATATATATATATATATATATATATATATATATATATATATATATATATATATGGATATATATATATATATATATATATATATATATATATATATATATATTAGAGGCATGACGTTTGCATATAGCATGAAACAGACTGTCGCCTCTAAGTGCTGACTTATATGTTCCCTTTTATATTTACACACGCTTATCTCTGATATTGAGCACTTTATCCCATAAATATAGCCCACCTTATGACTATATTTCTTCATATATATATATATATATATATATATATATATATATATATATCAAGTATAGGATTGGTGTATACGGAATAAAATTCTAATAACCAACAAATACTATTCTTAAAAGAGTTCTGAATACATAGTAGAGCAGATATCTTGTGTTTTATGAAGTGATTATGTTTCAACATCATCACTTGATAAGCCACTGGATAGGTTGAAACAAAATGGCTATTTTTGTAGTGATTTTATAGCATATTTATGTTATAATTTTTAAATAAATAATTATATATATATATATATATATGTACTTTACAATTGGATTTA